TAAGCAATTCAGTACACTACTTCTTGATATCGTGCTTGACTTATGGCTTCAGTACGCTAGCAAAAAGTCCCAGATCGTGGTCCCGGACACTCTTACTTAAAGATAAAAAGTGTATACATACACAACTGACCTGCCTGAGTTCATCGAAAAAACGCTTATTCAACATTTGACGCTCAGCTGACTTGTTTTCTTAAATAATGATAATATTCTTAGTGACGATGGTTACTAAATGAAAGTTGCGCGATCTTAAAAAAAAGACAGCGAAGGTCCTCAGTGTAGTGGAAGGACCCGCTTGAACTTTTGTTTAGAATTTTCTGGGTTAAGAGACCCAGAATAGAGAAGAATGAAAAAGTTACCAGCTGCATCAATGGAAAAGGGAATGTGATGATCAAAGAACGACTAAACAAAGTACAAAAATAAGGAGAGCAGATGATTTGTGAGGCTAAACCCTTAGAGTAAAAATTTTACTTCTCGTGGTGAAGAAGAGGTACCTTTCGGGGTCGATGTAATCACAAACATCTTATTGTGGATATCGTTGCCACCAGAACAGTCTTGTTCAGAATTTCTGAAAATATCATTCCGTTTATGATACCGGAGAATATCTTTCATAATTTAACATTTGCCACCATTTGTCACTTAGATAATACTAAGGTAAGGTGGACCACAATAAGATGGGCTCATTATATGCCAAGAGTGAACGGATGGATTATTGAATGGAGACTGCAACTTGATTTATCCGGTTTTTTCAGAAAGAACCCGAAGAAACGAGAAAAGAAGCTAAGCTTCCCAGGTAATGATACATACTTTGTCTCGCCGATTGGAAGAAATGCATCTTATCGCGGTCGTTCGCCACGCTGCCAGGATTCGCAATGAGCTTCTTGGTTGCTGTTGCATTCTGCCTACTTCCGGTAAGTAAAATCCGTACGCTCCTGCAAAAAATAATTTTACAAACTGTTGATTACTTTTATAAACTCGTCTATGAATTACATCCAAAATTGAAAGTTTTTAGAGTTCCTATGCTTTCACTTCATGTCTAACTTATTCCTTTTTAGCTATGTAGCTATAGTTCTTATAAAGGACAGTCAACACTTTTTCTTCCACAAAAAATTAATTTGTTTCTGATTCTAATTTTCGAAGTTGTTTAAAAGCACGCCGATGGCGGATTTGACTCTTTGGCATATTTCAGTACCAATTTACCATCGAAATAAATTAAAAAGTCATAAACGGGTTCATTTTCTTACTGATGTTTTGAACGTTCGACCTTTTGCATGACAGTACTGCCACTTATCACTGCGCCTGCTTTACTAACAGTTGGCAGAAGTCAAATACTCTTTTACTGCACAAAAAGAGCGATATGGAAGATTAAAAGAGTTACTTTGAAAGTTCCAGTTCAAATTTAGGCACGCAGTTCACGGCTTGAGGTCAGTAGTGCAACAATCGTAAATCTTATCTGCCGATTTTTAAACTTCCAAAAAATTTTCTTTGGCAAAATATATTGAATTTTGGAATATTTTTGTCCTTGCGAGCATTCATCGTGTCAGCGACCTTTCGATCTCTCTTTTATTCCATCCGTCCGGAAAAAACAAAGCAAACCTGATACAACACTCCAACTTGCCTGTGCAACGCAGCCTCTAGTTGCAATGGTATAAATGAGAATGGCTCAAAATAGAGAATGAGAAAGCTGCCAGTTGTGCCAATGGCGAGAACGCAATGATGAAGCAAAAGCTGGTCGAAGCACCAAAGTATATTTTCGGTCGAATATATATCCGGAAATACGAAAGCAATAGATTATCGCAAGTTTCCGATACTAAATTCCGCATCAAACAGTTGTGGATAAGAGTATACTTAACGCGAATCGTTGCTTACTTTCATATGGAAGATTTCGGAAGGACCAAAGAACAGTCTTCTCAAAACGGAAAGATCAGTTTCTGTAAAAAACTATTACTAAGCAAAAGAGAGGGAGAAGGAGAGAAGGGACGAGCAGAATGGAGCCTTTGAATTTTGAAAATGTTTCGATTTCTAGCAAAAACAGTTTCAATTTATATTCATTTCACTGCTGTCGGGAGCAAAACTATAAATTTATAAGAAAACTGAAACGCTAAGGCATTATTTCTGTGATGCTGTTTTTTTGAACCATAGTTTGCTTATTATGCAAATGGGTATAGCGCACTAGGATGTGGCTCCGTTATCGCGCATCATTCCCTCTACAACTTGTTCATTTGCTTTAAATTATAAGTTGATACTGGTACATGCCAAGGAATCAAACCGCTATCAGCCTAGCCCTAAGCTACTTTTAAAGGAGACAGTCTTCGACAGTTTTGGCAACAAATTTTTCATACAGCTGAATTTATTTCTGTTTTAATAAAATTTAGCATCTTCCCAGCCAATTTTTGCTACTTTTCGGTAGAATTTTCTGGCTAAAATTTTGGCAAAAATTTACATCAATTCATCTGAATTATTTGCTGCTTTACTCACGTTTTTTTTCCTTTTGACTCAAAAAATTTTTTTATTGCATTTTTCTTGGTTATGAGCGATATTTACGTCAAATTAGGGGAAGAAAAATATAGAAATTTCCTTTCCTTGCTAGATATTAGCGCAAAAAAAACCCAAAAAGTGCTTTTTGCTGCCAATATTTTGAAAATTTGTCCGCCTTCAACCAAAACCCAGGTGGGTCAGCGGCTGACTTTTCGGGTTCAAATCCTGCCACTGTCCGCGATGCATCGGTGGCTCAGCTGCAGGATGCGGGTTTGTAACGTTCGAGACGAGGAGGACCTGGAGTGTTTCTTGTTGCCTGGTGTTGAGCGCATCCCCTCCTGCAGCTGAGGGAATGCGCTCAACACCAGGCAACAAGAAACACCCCTTTATTAGTACAATCTCACAAAGAATAGTTAAAAAAACCCAGGCTGGAACGCACCAAGCGGGCCGGTGCGATTATGCGTTTTTGCACTTTTCTTGCTGTAGCAAGATCGCAAGGAATCAAAGTAGCCAACCCTGTGAAATACTGGCCCTCGAAGTTCGGGAAAGTCAACTGTGTAACTATGTGGTATGTGAGTTGTAGGTGCCGACTTCAGTGACCCGACAAATGGAAAGTTGCAGGTCAGCAAAAAAGTCCACACAGGAAGAGTTAAGTTTAAAATCTTTTAGTTGCTCAGGAGCAGGAAACATTCCCTTAAAAATAAATCCTTCAGCTTTTCCCGTTTCTGAGTTAGCAGTTTTCCCATCAAAATTTTCACA